ACGCCGACCCCACCGGCGAACTCGGCATGGAAGGCATGCGGCTGTCTGCCAGGTCAGCCTGGCCCGGGAACCCGCCGTGGGGCTGCTGGTACCCTCACAGCAGCGTGGGGGAGCCCACTGTGGCCTGCTCATCTCTGAGTGACGGAGGGGCTCCGAGCAGGCTGTGCTCTGGAAACGGCTGGCCGGGAAGGGGGACAGGAGGCAGCTGGCGGGGGCCGCTGAGGATGGGCCGGCACTCCCAGCGGGGCTATCCTGAGGCTGACCCGGGGCCTAACGAGTCAAAGTTCATGAGAGACAGGCTGAGGAGGCCTGGCAACTCGCCAGTGGGTGGCCCCAAAGCCTGGCTGCTAGGCCCTGCCCTCCTGGCTCTTCACGTGGGCGGAGGTGTCCACCCTCGTGGGGACAGCAGTGACCCCAGTCCCAAGCCCCACATAGGCAGAGGCCCCAGAGCTGACCACATGGCTAGGACGCAAGGCCGGCCGCACCAGCCCCCACCAGACAGGAGTGCTGGGCCGGTGCTGGCCGGAGGGCCGGAGGCCCGGGAGGGCTCAGCAGATGCCGTGGCCCCGCACACGCCTCCCTGCACCTCCCACGTGCCCTTGCTGAGCCGCCTAGCCCCCAGGGTCGCAGGGAGCGGACACACTGTGGGATGGCCTCTGGTCACGAGTCCCCACCTCGGCACCACAGCGGTCACTCCCCTGCCATGCTGGCCCTGGCCCCAGTGTTGCAGCCCCGCTGGGCAGCATGCTCACAGCAAGGGAGGCTCGTGCACAGAGGCGTCTACACAGGCAGCTCCGGGGCCCTGCTGTCCTGTATGCCGGGTGGGTGGGCTGTGCCAGGGGCGTGGCCCCATGGGCAGACAGCAGCGAGGAGGGGGTCCCGGCATGTCGGGAGGGCGGTCTGAGGGCTGTCCTGCCCGTCACACCGCAGACAGGTCCACGCGCTGAGCTGAGAGGCTGCTCTTGTCCCAGGGGGTGAGCTTGGTGGAGGCCGTGCCTGGCCGTGTCCCGTTCGTCTGCAAACAGCAACGCGCTGGGGTCAAGACCGCGCCTCGCGAGCAAGGACTGCAGGGCCAGAGCCGCGTGCAGGCCCCGTGGTGGCGCCGAGTGAAGGGCAGGAGCCCCTGCTCCCTGAGCAGCGAGGTGCAGGGCACGCCCGGTGTGTGGCCCACTGCTCGGCTGTGCGTCCATCCACCCACCACCCACACTTGTTCCTCCCTCACGGTGTGCACGGGCCGGTGCAGCTGCCGGCTGAGGCTGCGTGGCCAGCAGAGCCACCTGGTCCTCGCACCACGTGCACCCCACCGGAAGGCTGGCCACAGCCCTCAAGCCAGGTGGGGGAGAACAGGCAGAGGAGGTGGCTGGAGGCACAGCCTCGACCTAGCACATCCTACAGGGCTGTCCTGAGGCCTCCGTGATGGCCCGTGGGCCCGGCAGGCAGAGCAGTGAAGGCCACCCGTCGGAGCATGGGCGTCTGCCGGGAGGGGACCCTGGCTGGGACAAGCTCCTCGGAGGGGGCTGTGCCTGCGGCTGGTGCCTCTGAGGTCACTGGCCACGAGTCGCTCTGTCATCCTAAGTCCACACAGGAGCACGGCCTGGGGCGTAGGGCTTGGTCAGACAGGGAGGGCTGGCCCGGCCAGAGCATGTGGGCCGTGGCCTACAGCGGGTGCAAGAGGGGTCAGAGCCCCTAGCCCTGGGCTAGGCAGCTGCCAGTGTCACCCACTGAGGGCTGGAGGCTTGGGGTGCAGGACCAAGGCCAGCACACCATGCGTCCTCGTGGGGCAGCGGGTGACAGGGCCGGAGACGGGGGTGGAGACAGAGATTGGCTCCCAGGCCCCAGCCGGAACAAAAGCCCAGGGCCAGTGAGGGTCGAGCGTGTGAGGGGGCCTTCGGGGAGGGGAAGGGCTTGGGGAGACACTCACCGCGCTCACCACGTCGGACCCGCTGGGCTTGGTGGTGCCGGTGCGGGCGGGGCCGCTCGTGAGGGACCAGACCTTGGCTTTGTGCTTGAAGGCGGCTCTCACCTGTGGACACGGAAGACGGGCCGAGGAAAAGCGATATCGGGGTGGCCATGGCCCCACTCAGGGCCATGTGAACGGTGGTCCCCAGGATTCTGACCCTGGGGCTCCGGAAATAGCACAAGGCGAGGGGCAGGACTTGGGGACCGCAAGATCCAACGGGGCCGGCGCTCAGAGCTGAACCACCACCGCCACCTCGGCAGACACCGACTGAGCTCGCTTCTACCAGGCCGGCCCACGCGGAGGAGACCTGGGCCTGCCTGTCACCTCTGGTCTCTGGCACTTCTGGGGGAGACACGCTCAGCGGTGAGAGTCTCCCAGGGCCAGGGGTGACGATGGCACCGGAATGGAGACGAGGGTGGGAGAGTAGCAGCCCCGAGGGCCACCTCGGCCCCTGCGGAGGTCCCAGTCTCACAGCGGCCGGCTGCTCCCTGGTCTGAGCACTCGCGGCCTTCCTGCCACTGGTCATCACCTCCCTCAGACCAGGCCTGCCCTGGCCCTCCGGGGTAACCTCCCAGATAACGGGCATTTCTGCTGGAGCACCGTGGTAAGTGGTCCCTCCACGGAGGAGGGCGCTGGGGAGGACACAGGGAGGACAGAGGAGGCCTTCCTACCGGGCCCTTCCACCAGCCCAGACGCAGCCCCGACCACAGCCTGGCCACGCCCAGGGCAGGAGCTCCACGGAGCTCAGGTCTGAGACCGGGACCATGCCCACAGCGGGCGCACGCCCAGCCCGCCCGAGAGGAAAGGGCCACTGCAGCCGCAGGCCCGTGGGAGGACGCCTGAGGGCACATCCGCACCCCTCCCCCGGCATGCCAGACTGAGCTGACTCCCCACCGCCCCGGCCTGCCCCGTCGTCCTCTGCCAGAGGGTGCTTCTGTGTCACCAGCTACCATGACAGGAGTGTGACGGCTGCAGGGCAGCAGGCCCACGCCTACGTCGCGGGGCTGCGGGTCCCAGCCCCAGGGGACGGCCTGGCAGCAGCACGCTCTCACTCCTGCACCCTGTTGGACGTGCACCCAGCCCTGGGCTGTCAGGAGCAGACGTACCTCTGAGTTCAGGAGGCAGTGGAAGAGGAAGATGAAAAGTCCCTGGGAAGGAAGGGGAGGGCGGGATAAGAGCCAGTGCACCCTGTCGGAGGGCCCCCTCCTGTCACCTGGTCCTGTCGCCTGGGGACCAGGCTCTGAGAGGCGCTGGCAGGGCTCCCCGGTGGGCTTGGTGGGATCTGGAGTCTGGGAGGATAGGGCCGTATGGAGGAGGAGACAGGACAGCTCTACGAGGAGACGAGGAGATGGGGCCGGCTCTACAGAGGACACGGGGCGGCCTTAGAGGGGAGGACACGGGGCGGCCTTAGAGGGGAGGACACGGGGCCGGCTCTACAGAGGACACGGGGCGGCCTTAGAGGGGAGGACACGGGGCGGCCTTAGAGAGGAGATGGGGCGGCCTTAGAGGGGAGGACACAGGGCCAGCCTTAGAGAGGACATGGGGCCAGCTCTACAGAGGAGACGGCGACCTCTCACATTCCACTGCTGACACCGGGACAAGCAGGCCCGGAGGCTAGCATGAGTGCGAGGCCCGGCGCCAGCGTGTCACAGTCACTGGCTGTGGGGCACAGGCTGTGGTGAGGCCCACCGGGAGAGAGCGGGCAGGCTAGGCCCTGGGTTTGGTGCTGTGGGCAGGGGTGAGTGGGCACCTGAGCCTGGGTCTATCACCCTGCCCCATGCTGGCTCCCTCTCGGGGGCTGCCCGCGGGCCTCGTCTTCCCTTTGAGGCCTGGACATGCTCCCGCGGACACCGGCCAGCCCTGCCCTCAATGGGGCCATGTCATTTTCTCAGAGCGCTCAGTCAGACTCTGTCCTCAGCCCGGACACCCTGCTCTGGGCTCAAGGGGCTGGAGGGGCAGAGGACAGGCCCCGCCTGGCGCAGTGCTGCCCCACGCCCGTCCCCACAGCCTGCGGCCTTCCCGTGCGGGTCTTACCTGTAAGGAGTTGAGTGCCGCGAACACGTACTGGAAGACCAGGGCATGGCCATTGACGGCCAGCACGCCAAAGAGCCATGATGTCCCCAGGATAGGCAGCAGCACCACCACGGCCTTGGCCGTCAGCCTGAGAGACAGCGGGCTGCTGGGCAGCGAGCGGGGGACTGGCCGTGCCTGCAGTGAGGCCGGGTCCTCCCTACAGGGAACCCCGGCTGGGCAGGCGTCCCCGCGAGCCTCAGGTCTGCACCGAGAAGCAGCAGTGTGTCCCCAGGCTGCCCGACAGCTGCGGGAGCTCTGGGACAGTGGGAGAGCCCCACAGCCCGGTCCAGCTCCAGGTCTGTCTGTGGGAGGCCTGCCCCTCCGTGGACCTGGGCCTGCTGCGGCCGATGCACTGGAGGGCAGGGGTCACAGCAGGGAGCGTTCAAACCCAGGGGCTACCCTGGGCTCTGGCCATCATGCCTATAACCCAGCACTGCTCGGGCCCGGGGTGGGGTCTCCGTGCCCTGTGCTCAGCCGGGCAGTAATGGAACGGCTCCCCACACCGCCCGCCAGGCGGGGCAGCCCCCCAACACGTCAGGAGCCGCGGACCCCCCCCCCCCCCCCCCCCGCCAGGCGGGGCAGCCCCCAAACACGTCAGGAGCTGCTGCTTTAGGGCCCCCTTGGCATGGCAGCCCGTGACCAGGTGCTCCCTCCCCAGGCAGGCCTGGCATGGGCTCTCTGGCTCTAGAACTTCCCCTGGCTCCCAGTCCTTCACCTCTCACCCTGGAGGAGCTCCTAGTGGACCCTGAAGCCTCCCAGGTGGGGCCCTGACATCACCCTGCATCCCGGGACACTGGGCGTGGGCCTTGGCGGTGGCTGGGAGGTGGGGCAAGGGCAGGGCTCTGGCACAGCCGGCCACTCACCTGAGGGCGCTGGGGTCCCCGTGGACCCTGTAGTTGTCGGCGCTAATCTGGGAGAGGACCCTGGTCACAGCGATGAGGATGCCCACGTTGACCTGCCCGGGGAAGCGGGAGGGACATGAGGGGCTGGGCATCCCTGCCCCAGCCACCAGCCGCCTGTCCCCAGCCAGGGCACCCACGCAGACAGGTGACACCTGCAACTGGCCCACCGCCACTCGGGCCTTACCCACAGGACATGCGGGCTTGCTCTGAACATGCCTGCTGTCTGCGGGAACACGTCCCGACGTCTCATCACGCTTGCCCGGGTGATCCTAGGTGACTCGGCCCAGCCCCACCCCACCTGGAGAGCCATCAATGCCCACAGTGCACTGGCTCTCGGTGCACCATGTCCCGTGGCTCTGGACAGCATGGAGGGAGGGGCGGCCTGGAGCCCTGGCCCGGAGGAGCAGGGTCTATATCGGGTCTTTAGTGCGGCCTGGTCTCTCGATCAGGCTGGTGCCGCCTGCTGTCCACAGTGTTCAGACTGAGTCATGGAGGGGGTACAAAGGAATCCCAGTCTGTGTGCCACAGGGACCCAGGAGCGCCTGGGAGTCAGGCTTCTCCCTAGTATGCTTTCATCTATAGTGTTTTATTCTCTTTTCCTCAAAATAATTCTCCCACTAGTTCTTCGTCTTCGGGGAGAGGTGGGCCAAGGCCCGGTCCTGCTGCTCTGCAGACCCAGCCCCGTTAGGAGCGTGGGACCCAGTGCTCACGACAGCAGCACCAACGTCCGCTCACAGCACGAGGCGGGGAAACCTGACACACCCTGGTGGACTGCGGCCCGGGCCGTTGCTTTCCAAACGTGGCCACAGTCCACGTGACCCAGATGGCGTTGAGGTGAGGGGCAGATGTGCATGCAGGACACACCTGTGGCCGTAATGCAGACGGGGCGTCACACCCGTGCTGGTAAGCCAGGGTCCTGCACACCAGAGAATGCTGCGGGGGCAGGGGATGCAGCCCTGTCCTTGTCTGCATCTGCACGGCCCCTGGGACATGCCAGGCTGCAGCCCAGGTGCCCACCTGGGGAGGGTGTGACCAGGGAACCAGGACAGACCAGCGGAGACCTCCCACACGCAGCTCAGCGTACACTGAGCCTTGCGTATCACCAACTCAAACACCTACGACTCAGCTAGGTTTTCATTCTAATCAACTGCAGATTCAAAGAAAGGGCCATGAAGCTCACTTCCTGTGAACACTTAGCAGTGTTCCTGGTCGGGAGTGAAGGACACTTAGCCATGCTGCATCCCAGCAAATCAGGGAAGGCCACAGAGAAGCCATGAGGACTGGGTCGGGGAGGAGCTCAAATGACTGAAAAGGGAGCCCGGCAGGCTCATGGCCACCACACTGCCCTGAGCGGAATGGCCAGAGAGCCCCAGAGACACACAAGGTGCTGTTCCCACTTCCTGCCAGGGTAAATGGGAGGAGGGCCGGCTGTGACAAAATGTCTACAAGCACGCATCACGGCTGGTGGCGGAGCCCAGGGCAGGTTCCGTGTCCTCCAGGCCGCTGCACGTAAGAGCCGGCATCCTTGGCACACTTGAACAGCACACATCACAGCTGTTACCGCATTGGTAGCAGTGTGTCTGTATACCAATCAGTAACCGTGTGTCTATACACGAGTCAGTAACCGTGTCTGCATACGAGTCAGTAACCGTGTCTGTATACCAGTCAGTAACCGTGTCTGTACAAGAGTCAGTAACCATGTCTGTACACGAGTCAGTAACCCTGTCTGTATACCAGTCAGTAACCGTGTCTGTACACGAGTCAGTAACCCTGTGTCTGTATACCAGTCAGTAACTGTGTCTGTATACGAGTCAGTAACCGTGTGTCTGTACACGAGTCAGTAACCGTGTCTGTACACGAGTCAGTAACCGTGTCTGTATACGAGTCAGTAACCCTGTGTCTGTATAGGAGTCAGTAACCGTGTCTGTATACGAGTCAGTAACTGTGTCTGTATACCAGTCAGTAACTGTGTGTCTGTAGCTCTGAGTCAGATACACAGAAACTTATATGTAGATACAGATAACACAGTTACTGACCCGTAGCTATAGATACACAGTTACTGACTGGTAGCTGTACTCGTATGGGGAACCCCCAGAGTGGTCCATGCAGCCGGAGGAGCTGATACCCAGAGCCTGCAAGGCCGCTAGAGCTCTCGGGGCTGTGGTGGGACGGTCGGGAGGATTGCCTGCACGCCTCAGGGGACAGCCTGAGACTGGGCTCCTTTGAGCCCGCCGGTGCTGCCCAGGGAGCCAGGCCTATGAGCTGACCTGCCGGGAGGCCTGGCCTGGTCTTTGTCCTGGAGCCCCTCCCATAGCCCCTGTCCCCCGCCCTGGCCTAGCCAGGGGGACCTACCACGATGACCACCAGTGCCGGGGCCACGAAGGCCCAGATGGCACCACTGTCCAGCGACAGCCAGCAGCTGTGGAGAGAAGGAAACCAGGCGTGACCGGAGTTGCCCCAGCCAGCGCCCACACAGGGGCTTCTCAGCTGCACCGCTGCCAGGTCTCAGCAAGGGCTGAGTCTGTGAGCGCTCCCCGTGGTGGGCCGCCGGGTCTCCTTCCTGGAGAAAGGAGCTGCAGGCTCAGCAGCACCCAGGGTGTCCAGCCAGGCCCAGAGCAGGCCTGCACCGCCAGGGCCACAGGCCCCCGTGGGCACCTCCGTGGGCATTCTCAGGATGGCGCAGGAGTGACAGGCACACCGACTGTCTTCAGAGAGAAGAGCGGGGCGGCTGGAGGCGAGGGTGGGATGGGGCCCAGAGCGTGCTTGAGAAGAGCAGCCCCCTCGGAGTGCGGGCGTCTGAGGGCGCCAGGGCTGAGGGGCACACCAGACAATGGCTGCTTAATCGCCTGCTCCCCTCGTGCTCAGCCAGTGCCCGCTGCAACGTGTTGTCGGTGAAGTGGGAGAGAGGCTGGTCTCCCAGGGCCAGCGACCGATGTCTGAACTCCTCGTGAAGCCGGGCAGAGCCTGCCTCCCTCCGTCCTCAGCCTCGGCACTGTCCCTCCGTGATTTCACACAGTGGCACTTCAGCTCGGCTGAGGCAGCAGTGGCCGAGGACATGCGTGCCGAAGCCTTTTTCCCATAAGGAAAAGAAGCCGCGTTCCTGGAACTCGAGCACCGACCCGGCCCACTGGGCAGCCCGGCCTCTCCCTGGCCCCACGGAAGCACTGCCACAGCTTCCAGATGGCGTCAAGGGCCCACACCCTGTTGCCCAAGCAGCGGGACCCTCAGGGCCACCCCGTGCACCCAGCCCAGGTCCTCCTGTCATCTGAGGTTCCCCTGCACTTGCACTCCCCGAGAAAAGACCTTGGGCTCGGGTTTGTGCCCAGCCTCGTGCCGGCTGGATGTTCATCTGGAAAGAGCCCGTGGGCAGAGACAGCAGCCAGGAAGGGCAGGGCACGCCGTTCCTCCAGGGGACGCCCTCACCCTGACTGCCCAGGAAACTGCTCCGAGCATGGTTGGGCTGCCGCGGCCGGGCCAGGCCCTTCCTACTGCGGTCCGGGAGCCCAGCGTGCATGGCAGCCTGCACCCGGAGGGACGCGGGAAGGCAGGGTGGGACCGGGGCTCCTCACGAACCTTTCCTGGGAGAGGCCTGCCGGACCAGGGTGCCAGAAGGCCACGAGTCACTTACTTGTTGCTGGTTCCATAGCTATCCCTGGCAGACGGGACCGACACGACGCAGATCAGCAGGGGCAGGCCTGTAGGGGACAGGCACACTGTGTGAGCGGGGTCCTCCCCGGCGGCTGCCATGCGCTGCACCTGACACGCGAGGACTGTGAACCAAACACGGCCATGGGGCAGGCGGCTACCAAGGGCCCTCGGGGGTGAGAGCAAACCCGAGTCTGGCCTCGAACCTGCCACGCCAGGGGCCTGGATAAAGGACACAGTGGGGAGCGGAGTGCCCGGGCTATGCTGGGAACGCCGGGGCCACAGCTGACACCTGTACACCAGACAGCTGCGGCGACAGACGGAGACAGCCCTGCTAAAAAACCCACCGGCCACTGCCCAGGTTGCGCCCTCCCGGGACAGCACCGGGGCTCCCCCCGCGAGGGCAGTGGGCTTTACTGAGGCGCTCAGCCAGGTCACGAAACCACACGGAGCATGGGAGGATCCGCATGAGGTCACGACAGGGCACTGGCTGAGACGGCGAGGCACGCAGAGAAGCCAGTGCGGCCTGGACGCAGGAGAGCAGGGACGGCGGCTGGGAGAGGGCCCAGCCGCTCCGAGAAGGCCTCGTGGCCGCCCTCGCAGGCCCAGGACAAGAGCTAAGTGAAAGCACGCTTGAAACAGGGGCGCGGGCCAGTGGGTCGTGGCGGTTAAGGCCGGACTCCCACGTGGTGACTCAGACCCATGGAAGTGAGAGCCAGAGACGGCGATAGCGGGTCAGCACGGCCAACCGCACGCCCTCTCCTTCCGACCAGACCCCAGTAAGCAGAGCTGTGGCGGTGGCCTGCACGGACACGGCGGTGGAAAATGTCACCGCGGAAAGGGAGGGTCGGGACACAGGAGCGGCGCTCTGACGTCATCGTGGTCTGCCCCCGACAGGAAACAGACCCTCACGTGCTAAAAAGGGGCGCGAGGGCAACCACTTACACGGCTCAAAAGCATGGTAAGGAGCCGGGGCACGGAAGGGGCACGGAAGGGGCACGGAAGGGGCCGCCTGCCTAATCCCGAAGTATGAGAGGGTTCGTGAGAAAGCCCCTAACCACAGGCCCAGAAGACGTGGAGAAAAACCGCCCGATCTGAAAGGGGAGACAGACAACTCGGCCGGGGGGCACGCGTGTCTCACGGCAGTGCCGGGCAGGACAAGGCGGCAGGTGGGTGAGAGCAGAGCGCGGGCACCGCCCCAGGCCAGCGGCACGTCCGGGCCGCGGCAGTGCCCTGTGAGCCGCGGCGCACCGGAAGTCTCTGGGCAGCCGTGGAACAGACCTGAACACGCTTAAGAGGACTAACGCCACACCACACGCGGCCTCTCCACGGTGAAATGGAAGCAGGCATCGAGAACGCGGAAGTGAGAGAAGTACACGTGTGAGGACGACGTAACACACTCGTTCAATAAGGCACGGGTCAGAGAAGTGAAAAAGGAAGTCAAAGCATGCTTTGAGATGAGTGAGGATAAGAACACGTGGGGATAGCCCTGTAGCCCAGTGGTTGAGACAGCCAGGCCCTTCATGGCCGACTGGTTCAAAGCCCAGTCCTGGCAGCTTGAAAACCGTGTTGGCTGTGTATGGGTGCCCCGGATTCCAACAGCATGAAGAAAGGAGACGGGTGTGGAGTGGCCATGCCTCACGGGGGTGCTTTCTGCCCCACCCCAGTCTCTTTGTCTCTCTCTCTCTGAGGAGTGCATGCACCCTCTGACGACCAAACGGAAAGGAGACACACACGTGGGGGCACCAGGCCCAGCGGCCCGCCGGGGCCGCGGCAGTGCCCTGTGAGCCGCGGCGCACCGGAAGTCTCTGGGCAGCCGTGGAACAGACCTGAACACGCTTAAGAGGACTAACGCCACACCACACGCGGCCTCTCCACGGTGAAATGGAAGCAGGCATCGAGAACGCGGAAGTGAGAGAAGTACACGTGTGAGGACGACGTAACACACTCGTTCAATAAGGCACGGGTCAGAGAAGTGAAAAAGGAAGTCAAAGCATGCTTTGAGATGAGTGAGGATAAGAACACGTGGGGATAGCCCTGTAGCCCAGTGGTTGAGACAGCCAGGCCCTTCATGGCCGACTGGTTCAAAGCCCAGTCCTGGCAGCTTGAAAACCGTGTTGGCTGTGTATGGGTGCCCCGGATTCCAACAGCATGAAGAAAGGAGACGGGTGTGGAGTGGCCATGCCTCACGGGGGTGCTTTCTGCCCCACCCCAGTCTCTTTGTCTCTCTCTCTGAGGAGTGCATGCACCCTCTGACGACCAAACGGAAAGGAGACACACACGTGGGGGCACGCTGCACTGCCTCTGTGTAAAATGGAGGCGCCTCTCACCGGGGCACCCTGGAAGAGGAGGAGTGGACTGAGGTCGACAGAGCAGAGAGGAGAGGACGGGGGTGAGACGGAAGGAGGAAACAGCGAAAAGAAAGCAACAGAGCAAGAGTTCCACACGCCGGTTCTTTGAAAGGTCAGCGGAACCAGCAGCCTGGCCATGGCCTCCCAGCACAGTGGTGCGACACAGCTTCAAATCCCGCCTGGAGGCGTGAGAAAGATGCCGAGGCATGTGTGCACGTGTGCCAAGACTCTGACAGGGTGGACAAGTGGTGCGGGGAAAACTACAGCAGCGTGACCTGGCCTTCTGGAGGGTGTGTGTTCTCTGTCTCTCTGTCTCTCTGTCCAGTGCACGCTTGCGCTAGGGCAACCCTCATAACTGGCCAGCCAAGTCAGCAAGGTTGGAAGGGTTTTCAAACGGTGTGAGTTTTCACCGTGCCCCCGCGGGTTCCCCTTCCGTCAGCCCCAGGAGCCCCAGGGGGACAGGAAGGGAGGGCCCGCCGGGTGGCGCACCTACCCCAGCCCACGGCGTAGTAGTAGTACAGGCGCCTGCTGTCCTCGGAGCCGAAGACCTTGACCACCATGCTGTAGAGGTGCAGCCCCTCGGCCAGCATCCAGGCGAAGGCGCTCAGGAAGAGGAAGTGCAGCAGCACAGCCAGCGCCCGGCAGGGGGCCTGCGGAGAGCCAGTCAGAGGGCCCGCTTCTCGCAGGGCACAGGCCTTCCCTCTGCCCGGGAACCGCGAGGGCCCGTGACTCAGGGCCTGGTCACTGCGGCCCTCCCAGTCCTGGCTCAGTGATTGGTTCGGGAAAAAGTCTGGGAGTTAGGCCCAGCCAATCAGCACAGCTATCCCTGTTCTCTGTGACAGGACTGGCTCGGCAATGGCACATGACTCGCCAGTCCGAGCAGGGAAGCCCACAGGGAGGGGCTGCAGTCTGTGCTGGGGAGCCCAGGGCCCTGCTGATCTGCAGGGCAGGGCAGAGACACCGTTGCGGGTGCTCAATGCCCGCAGCATCCCAGGTGCCCGGCTACGGCCCCCCATCCAGGGGCGGGCAGCCACCTCTGCTCCTCCTCTTCGCCCTGGTTTGAAACCCGTGGGCCCCAAGCAGGGCACTCCAGTCTCTGCCCTCCACAAGGTCTAAAGCTGCCTGGGCCCTGGACCCCCGCCCTGTGCAAGGGGCAGGGAAAGGTGGGGTCTGGTCTGTGAGTGCCCTTAGGCAGCAGTGCAGCCCTGGGCCGGCAGAGGCAGCCATGTGGATAGTGGGTGAAGGGCAGAGTCCAGGGTGAGAGGCCACAGCCCTGGCCCCAGGTCTCTCTCTAGGCCGGAGCTAGTTCTGAGCAGGCCAGGCTGCCAGCATGGAGGAGGCAGTCCCTGTCCCTGAGGCTGACCTGGGGCGGGGCCAGCTCCTGCCCTCTGCTCCTGCAACAGCGCTGGCTGTGAGGAATGACCTGAATTCTGTTGGAGAACTGCAGGGGGTGCTGCCGGGCCGGGGGACAGCAGTGGGCAGAGGGCCTGCGCCCACTCACCGTGCCCGGCTCGAAGTGGGAGCTGGTGAGCAGCAGGACTTGGGCCGCCAGGACCGCACAGGACAGGTTGGTGTGGATGTGATAGCGCTGGTTCCTCATGGTGCTGACCGAGCTGAGCAGAGAGGGGCACGCCCTGGGAACTCGGGGCCAGCTCACCCTCGGCTGCTCGGACCCCAGGCTGGGCTCCCTGCCTGCACACAGCCCCACATCCATTCCTCCTAGGGCAGGTGGTGGGGTGGAGACTTTGCCACCTGTTCGCGACCCGCCGGGTGCTGTCCTGCTGCTCTGAGCCCTCAGTGGCTCCCTCCGCAGCCTGTGGCCTGAGCCTGCCCACGGCCCTGAGTGGGCTCTCCCCGCTGCTGACCCTGCCTTTCAGAGCTTCCCCTCAGCCCAGCTCACTCCGCCGCAGGGCCCTTGCACAGTGGCTCCCCTCCCCCGGG